TTTTAAGTTTTTATATTCTAGAAAGTTGTTATTTTAGGTACGTTTTTAATTTTATTTTTTCCTTGAATGAATGGGCATTTTGATCTAAGAAGAAGAAAATGATTAAGAATTGAAATGTTTAAAGCTTTCTAAGATTCAGGATCGTTTCGGGGAATCTCACATAATCTAGGACGTCATTTATTGAGATCCTTGGGGTCTTAAGAACTCAACGCCGAAGTTTAGATAGACCTAGTTTTTAAAGTACAGCTTGTGTTCTGATTTTAAGGCTCCACTGTTTTGAATTAAACTATAGATATTTCACAATAATAGAGCATTTCACACATTTTTAAGAAATGTTAGACATAATTGGAACTACATTTCGAGAGTTTCTACCATTCACAATCATTGCAATTGTAATTCCAGAATTTCCTTTGTAATTGGAACTATTCCGTTTATTATTCCAATAAAATTTATAAATTCCAACCCGGCTTTACTACGCAAATAACTTGTACGCAAGTTTGCGTATTTGTATAACCATTTTTATTATACCCTCCACCTTTCTATGGAGGGTATGATAGCTTTGTCATTCCGTTTCTAATTCCTCGAAATATTCAGAATAGACCCTACAAAGTATACATATTTTGGATCGGCGTAAAATTCTAAGACGATCTAGCAATGTCCGTCTGTCTGTTGTAATCACGCTATCTTTCGAATGAATTGAGATAGAAGGCAAATATGTTGAATACATGCATAGCTTACCATTAGGCAGGTTAAGTTCGTAAATGGGTCATGTCGGTCCACGTTTTCATATAGCCCTCATATAACGGTACCTCCCGATATTCGGTATTTTCCTAATTGTAGCGACATTATTTACCGGAGTTATTTCAAATTTCATATTTAAAGTTCGTAAAGGGCACTACAACCTATGGCAAAAAAATCGTATGCAAGTCCACGTCTTCGTATAACCCTCATATGACGGTACCTCCCGATATTCGATATTTTAATGATTTTAGCGACATTATTCACTGGAACTGTTTCAAATTTCGTATTTGAAGTTCGTAATGGATACTACAGCATATTACAAAAAATTTCGTAAGCAGGTCCACGTCTTCATATGGTCCCCATATAACGGTTTTCAATTAATTGGTAGTTTTCGGATTTTTTTTTTTTTTTTTTTGAAAATTTTCAAGTTTTTTTTTTCGAATGGTGTATTAAATGTTCGGCCCGGCCGAACTTAACTTCCTTTTTAATTGTTATTATTATTATTATTATTATTATTTTTTTTTGGAAACGAGATACACTTAAAGTAACTTTTGTTGATCTGCATAGAATCCCATTCCATGTATTTTCGTACACAAAGTATAGGTCGCATTTTTCCGACCTAGATAAACTTTTGAACAAATCATTTGTTTGTCCCAAGGAAGAAACGTATTGAAATTAGTGATAATCGGTCCAAATTAAGATATAACTCCAACATATAATTGAAAATTAGCCCAAATAGGATGGAACTTGGCCAGATACAACTCGGAGATGCCTTAGCCATTTTTTTTTCGAGATTGTTCCTGATTTTGTACACAGAACTCACATATATCTGCAACCGCCGTTTATTGTGATATCAACATTAGATATTGGATATTGGCACATTTGGCTGAATTTAGCGTATAAGCACGTACTTCGAAAATGGTGAAAATTAGTTCAGATATAGCTATAGGTCTCATATATATGTTGCAACCGCTTTGATATTTAAGCCGCCCAAACCCCTTATATTCACTTCCTTACAAAAATCATAATGTAGCTCCAATATATATTCAGCTTCGATTTTATGTTCATTGTGTACAAATGTGTAATATATGCCACAATAAGATGGATTTTGCACTGTTGACCGGATTTAGCCTCATCAACTTTGGTGAAAATCGGTTTAGATATTGCTATATATCCGATATACATGCTGCGCCCGTCGTTTTTATAAAAACAACGGTATCGGTGCGGGGCGATATCCTGAACAAAAATGCCAACATTGTTCTGGAAGTCGAAAAAAATTAGAATATGCCTATGATCAACTTCACATAAATTCGCGATTAAACCGTTTATTAGTTACATGAAGCTCTACTAATTATAAATAGAGGTGAATAGTCGTCCCCAGCCAACTTTTATCCTTTCTCTACAGGCTTAACAGTGTTAAATATATGGTTTTCTTGTGTTAATTAGTTTTTGTTTCCCTTACATAATTGATTTATCTAATTCTTCAGTGAATTGTGATTTTTGCTCTTTTTTTTTTTTTTTGTTAATTTTGTTTTAATGTTAATTTTTTAATAAGATTTTTAAGATTAAGGATGTTATGAATAGTTTAGAGTAGTCATGTATGGAGTTCTTGGAGCCGTCAATCAATTGTTAATTTGTTTTAGTGTTTAATTTTAAGTAAGTCGTTTCGGATTAAGGATTTTATAATTAATTTAGAGTAGTCACGTATAGAAGTTTTTGGAACCGTCCATGTAAAGTTTTTGGAACCGTCCAAATAAATAAAAAAATAAATAAGGCAAAAATATATAAATGTTTTAGCAACTGCCCGGCTGGGATTATAACCTACGTCCTCGCCATCCAGCGGAGAGTATTCCTGGCGTCCTAGCGTTCTAATCTACAACACACTGGTAAAAGTTCCGAACTGAAATACAAACGCAATTGAAGTTTGGAAAAAAACTTACATTATACGCTGAGCACGAAACAAGTAGAAAAGCAGTAAGTTCGGCCGGGCCGAACATTGAATGCCCTCCACCATTTGAAACGAATTTGGAAATTTTCAAAAAATAAAATCCGTTAAAAACTCTTTTAAAATCTTAACAAGTAAAAAAGCTGTAAGTTCGGCCTTGCCGAACTTTTAATACCCTCCACCATTTGGTACAAATTTGGCAATTTCCAAAAAAAAATAAAATCCGTTAAAAATTCTGCTAAAATAATAAAAATACCGAATGCCTATACAACGACGTGGACCTGCACAGACAATTTTCTGGCATGGGCTGAAGTATCCATTACGAACTTCACACGCAAAATTTGAAACAATCCCGGTAAATAATGTCGCTAAAATCATCAAAATACCAAATATCGGGGGTACGGTATATGGGGGCTATACGAAGACGTTTTCTTTTTAATGCTGCAGTATCTATTACGAACTTCAAATACCAAATTTGAAACGATTCCGGTAAATAATGTCGCTAAAATCATCAAAATACCGAATATCGGGAGGTACCTTCTATCTCTATTTGTTCGAAAGATAACGTGATTACAACAGACAGACAGACGGACATGGCTAAATCGTCTTAGAATTTTACGCTGATCAAGAATATATGTATTTTGTTGGGTCTGGAATGAGTATTTCGAGGAGTTACAAACGGAATGACAAAATTAATATACCCTCCATAGTATGGTGGAGGGTATAAAAATAATATTGGGAGGTACTGCTATATGGGGCCTATACGAAAACATCAGACAATTTTCTGTCATAGGCTGCAGAATCCATTACGAACTTCAAATACCAAATTTAAAACAATTCCGGAGAATAATGTCGCTAAAATCATCAAAATACCGAATATAGGGAGGTACCGTTATATGGGGACTATACCAAACTTGAACCTACATGGACCATTTACGAACTTAACCTGCCTACTGGCAAAATAAACATGCGTGCAAAATCTTAGCTGTCTATCTCAATTCCTTCGAAAGATAGCGTGATTACAACAGACAGACAGACCTACGGACGTCGCTAAATCGACTTAGAATTTTTCGTTGATCAAGAATATATATACTTTGTTGGGTCTGACATGACTATTTCGAGGAGTTACAAACGGAATGACAAAGTTAATATGCTATGGTGGAGGGTATACAAATTATTCACATTACTTCGCGTTTGTGTTTATGTAATGATGTACGCATAAATGGAATTTTCCCAAATTGGTCTTCGTCTACCCACAAAAATAGTATCTAATATGCCTGGTGAGCCGCTTGACCAACAGTGAAACGAGTCGAATACTGGTTGTCCAGCGTTGGACCTCGCAAAGTTTTCAATACCATAGTATTATGAAAGTATAGTAAATTTGTTATTGAAGTCATAGACAAATGAAGATATAGACAACGAAAAGTTAGTTTTGTCTTTTTATCCAGGTGGCTCTCTTCATGTTTTGCATAGTCAACATGCTGATTTACGCGTTCAACCCACTCGACTCCGAAAATACATTTTATCGTTTTTCAAGAATTTCACTTGGTTATTCCGGAATTTTTTGATGTCATCACATAATTTTCACATTTCTTTTATTATGGAACAATTTCCAACTGACAAACATCCTACAGTTTTTGTTATTTTTAACGTTTTAGAATTAAACTCCAGAAACGATATAGACGACATCTGCTGATTCGATTTTTTTCGAAGATAAGCGGTGAGAGCATTTCGTTGCCTATATTTTCATTTGTCTATGTTGAAGTCTTTCTAAAATTATTTTCTCTTATACCATATCTCCAATTGTAGTAAAAGATATCTAAGCTAAATTCCGACAGTTTTTCATAGTATAGCATATTATGTTAAAAAGAATTATCCATATAATCGACACAGGTCATAAAGTTCGCATACCAAAATCGGGTCTTAAAATTGCCTTCATGAACTTCACAAAAACAAATTTAATGTTTTTTTTGGTTTAAATGACTTTCTCACTTTGTTTACAACGTTTACTTTAAAGCCAAATGCAATTTTGAGGAATGAACATAACTACTGTTGATAGTGCACAAAACTCTCAGAGTAAAATGTAAAACAAACATAATTCTACGAATATTAAAGGATATCTTAAGTTTATGAATGCCGTCCGATTTCATGTTGTCGTTAAACACAATTACAAGTCAATTAAATAAAATTATTCAGCTGTACAGCGTTCGCTTGGATTCACTGTATAGCCAAACCACAAATGTTGTGCAACAGATTCTTGAATGTGTGTGATGCAACAAAAAACTACAGAAACACGTACTCTCTGCATACTTACAAATCTTATGTTATCGTCGAAAGGTTCATATATAACATAGTCAGCCACAAAGCTTGCAATTCCTGCCGCATTTCTTAGCGATTTATACAGAAATGAAGTGGGACGAAGAGTCGTACAAACGAATTTCTACATGGAAAATCGTAAGCGTATGAGATGAGAAAACAGATTTTCATAAATGTGATCAGCTTACCTGGATATTACACTCATTGGGCAAAGCGAGAACCAAAGGTCGAGTTTTTAAATTAGATGTAAAAAATTGATGCCGAAAATTCTCCGCGTACAAAAGCAATAATCGCTCTTTCGGCGACAAAATGTAATAAGACAAGGGATAACACAGTCGAGAATGGCAGTGGTCGGAAAATGCTTCAGGAAATGATATATCAATTCGGCCTATATCGCTGTGGGTGTCTGAACTTACAATATCCATTTCCTCCTCTGAGGAGCCCTCCGTTTCTACGGCTTGTCCTTCTACAGTGACCACTTCATCAGTTTCGTAATGCTTAGCTTCCAACTCTCTGATTTGATCATCGTGTTTATGGGGATCAATTTGAATTTTCGCTTTCGAGGTGTAATCTCTTTTTCTTTTCATTTCAAAACGTCGATGTTCCAAATAAGTTCACACAATGTCAAACAAACCGTTGCTAAGTAATATACCAATATGTGGGGGAATGTTTGTGTAACTATTGAAACTTTATTACTATAGGTGTAAAAGAATTCAAGACAGAATATTCAGAGTTAATACACAGTTTGGCCACCTCAAGGCCAACTGTAGTAAAACAAGTAAAAAAGTAGTTAAGTTCGGTCGGGCAAAACATAAATATGTATAGAAAATTATTTGCCAAAGAAGGTGGCAGCGAACTCCATATTCCAACTTTTTCGAAATGCCGAATATCGGAAGGTAACGTCACATGCGATTTATATTTGGGTTTATATATGTTTTCTGACAACCTACAGCAAATTCGATTACAAATATGATTAAAACCCTAGAAATACCTTAAATCGGGCGGTACCGTTATTATTCGACGTAGACCATAAACAGTCGGTTAAAATTAAAATACTGCCCATATTATTTACAAGAAGTTTGAAATTTAGCACAAATTTTGCATTGTATCTAGGATTGTTGGTATTCAAAATATAACTATACCCCCCAATATTCGGTATTTCGATTATTTTAGCCACATTTCCTCCCTCAATTGTCACAATTTTGTGGTTAAGATTTTGAAATGGTATTTATCTCCTGGGTTTTTGTCCATATTGGTCAACGGATTCTATACAACGGTACCGATCGATATTCGACATTTTTTATGATTAGCCACATTTTTCCACGGAATTGTTTGATGTATGGTATTTACCACTCGCATTAGGTAACATTTTTTATAGTAGTTTCCCGTTTTGTTGTTGCGCCCATGTAACGGTTCTACCCACTTTCTGGTATTTTAAAAGCTTTAGCTGTATTCTCCAATCGATCTAACTGGTTTTGAATGGTTTTTTGCTTGACAATATTGCATCTTTTAAATGTCAAATCTTTGGAATACATGAATTCTGCACAAATATAAAACAAATATTCATTTTTGGACACAAATAACATTTTCATCGTTAAAATGAAAATTTTGTGAAATATTTTTTGTGTGTTTCCTTCTTCTTTATGGATTCCTCACAGAAAAACTTTTAACAGCTCGAGAAGACAAAGGCCTTAATTCGCCTTCTACGTAACCGTAATTAATTGACATTGCTTAACTAAGACTTTTGCGTTGCTTTATCTTCAATTCGTTCTCTTGCCCTCGTTGTTGGAACCTCAATAAACGGAAAGACATTCATTGTTTTCCTTTGTTTTTGTTACTAATTTGTAGTTTTTGTTTATTTTTGTTCAGATAATTTTTTAATTGGATGATACTCAATTATTATACCCTTTGCTGCTCTGTGGGAAGTGTTTATGTCCATTTTATCAATAATCATCAAATATCTGAGATATAACTAATTATATATACGAGCGTCAATATTCTTCAATGTTATCTAACGATATCATGCAACATATCGATTGAAATTTGAATTCCCGTCCTAAATGGATCAATGGATAAAAAGTTATAGAACACACGCAATTCTTTGTAAAGGAGTCACCAGTGGTAACTCACCACATATCAGCGTAAGATCAAGAGTGGTTTGAAGCATTTATGTCAAACTCCAAGTACCTCCTTGAGTTTTAAAGATATCAACATAAAAATTTGATTGAAAGATAAAGTAAGATTCGTAGAAACAATTTAAATTGTTTGAGTAAATGAGCGATATGATACCACACACCACTACGAGAATATTGTACGGCTATACGTTACAAAATATTGTTTAGATTGGAAATGTATGTAATGTTAATGAAATCATTTGTAATCGGTAGTGAGTGCATATTATAGCTTTAGAGCGGATTGAATATTAAATCGGATGGATGTAACATATGGAAACTGTATCTCAATCTTATTCGATTTCAGTAAATTTGATGGAAGTATGTTGATCTGATTATAACTAACTTCAATAGGATTCGTCCTTGGATCAACAAACGGTCTGTGCAAATTTCTATCTCAAGTAAATTTTGCGGACATGCATAAATGTGAAAAAATCAATCGATTCAATTCATCAATTAAATTTTAATTTTTGAGTTTTTTATTCCTAATAATATGCCAATTAAAAAAGGGATGCGAATTTAGGCTTTTTTTGGGAGGAATCCAGCGAAGTGGTCTTGATTCAGCAGCAGTTTCGGAAATTTTACATTGCAATGTTTATTTATGAGAACTAATTATATTTCCAAACTTTTTTAGAATCAGAAATTACTATTAAGAGCAATAACCATATTTTTTGTATATTTTGCATACATTGTGTACTTTTTGCATATCTTTCACATATTTTGCATATGCATTATATATTTATATTTGGTCATATCAGATTTTTAGTTGGAGCATTTAAAAGTATGCAGAAATCCGATGCATACATATCAATTTTCACAATAGTTTATTAGTCTATCTATATCCTTCTGTTTGCGATTTATGTACCAGCATATGTCTCATATCTGGAGCCGACAGAAGTAATCGCATAAGTCTAGTTTGAGGAATATAGGGGATTATTATTGGGAGGTACAGTTATATGGGGGTTATACGAAAACATGGACCTGTATACGCAATTTCTTGTCATAGGCTGTAATGTCTCTAGAATAATTAAAATTCCGAATATTTGGAGGTACCGTTTTATGAGGACTATACGAAAGTGTAGACCGACATGGCATTTACGAAATTAACCTGCCTGACTTCTATGGAAAGATAGCGTGATTACAACAGACAGACGCTCAGACAGGCGGACAGCGCTAAATCGACTTGTGGGGTCTAACATGAGTATTACGAGGAATTACACATGGAATGACAATATTAATATATACTCCACAGAATGGTGGAGTGTATAAATAAATTTTACAATGTGTGAAGGAAACCGGAAACCCAAATTTTTTTGTGAGATACTTAAATGCTATTATTTTGCTAATATTTACAATTTTTGGAAATCGATTTACAAACATTGACCAACGTTTATTCTTTTTTACTTTGGAATACATAAATAATGTGTTATTCCTCGGATAAAAATGTTCTGCAAAACATTTTGGGAACTCAGTATAATATCGATATACATATATGAATTAAAAAGTGTGCTGAAATAAAGGCATAAATGTCTATCAACGAAGAATAACATTGAGAAGACATTGTTGATAGAGTAAGATGACGAATTTTATTCCTTTATTCATATACCTAAATACGAGTCTGAAATCAAACAGAACAGTGCTGTCCAGAAATGTCAAGATAGAATTCCGAGCGTGATCGAAAATATAAAGATTTTTTGCACACCGTGCAAACGAATCTCATCTTCGAAATTTTTTGAAGAAAGTCTAACTTTAAAGATGTCAGAAGACAATATAGATGTTTGGTTATATCAACAATATAAATGTATGATTATATCAACAGTAAACCGATCAACATTTCGCTTGTATACATAAATTACAGAAGAGAATTTAATCTGTGGGTTTATGGGTCCTTCATAACTAAAGTCTTCGCCCACCTTACAACCTGTTTCGAAAACATAATTGAGACTTCGATCGTCTACTTTAAAGGATCAATATTCAGGATTAAAATAAATGTTATTAAATATGTTTATATATATATGTTTTGTTTTATTATAAATCATGGTTACTAAATTCATTTTTTATATTTTTATTAATATAAAGTTATATTTGCTTATTTATTTTTTAATTATTATATTTAATAATTATGTATGTAATTATAATCAGAGATAAAAATTCTTGGTTATATGCAATTACATTTTTTAAATGATAATTTCCATTATACTGTTTTTTTTTTCTTTTTTTGCAAGAATGTTTGTTCTACAAAATGTAAGTGGTTGATCCTGGCGTCATATTTAAGTGTTCTTCTGTATCATCTGGCTGTCCTTGGTCGGTCAGTTTTTATGACACGGTATGTTGGGTCTCATTTTTGGAAAGTGGTTTCTATTTTGAAATCGTAACTTTTGTTTTATGAAATACATATTACAATAATTGTGGGCGTTATAGCATGTTTCCATTGGAAACCGAACAACGTTGTTCGCTCTCAGAATTATGTACACGAATTAACCCGTTCATACGGCACGATTCGTAATTCATAGTAAAATAATTCCCTTTTTCAAAAATTTTGTTTGTTGATTTTAATGGGAATTTATACGAAAATACATGAAATTCTCACTAATATAAATAGAAGAAATGATTGTCTTTCTCCTAAAGATTTATTATATCATTAATTTTATAATTTTCATTCACGTTTTCAACTTTTTGTGCAAATGTTGACATTTTGAATATATTTTTGTATTTTTCTATTTTTAAATTTTGCTGGAGAGACACTTGTCAAACATTTTTTCTGCCGATACAAACATTTTAAAAATATTGCCTCTTTTGTTTGCAGTTTTCTGTGGAAATTTCAACTCGTGGATAAAATGCGTACCTCGAATCAGAGAGAAAACAAAATGTACTTTCGTTTGAATGTACATACGCCATTCAACATTGTAGATTTCATTCATAATTTTCAGTCTTCCCAAAAATTTTTAAAATTTCATTAAATTTTTCTATTTTTAATTTTTAAATGTCATAATTTATTTTTTCGATAAATGCTCTCATTTGTTAGGGATGGGACATATTTTTTCGTTGTTCTGAGAGTGATTTGATTTGAACAACGTACAAATATGAGTGTTCGCTCAGGAAATTTTGTGTTAGACATATTTTAAGTTGAAATCTAATCGTGTAATTTATAATGTTCATTAATAATAAACTATTTGTTTCTTTTGTTTTTCATACGATGTGTATTTGAATATATCAAGAATGTACTTACTATTCTATAAATAATAATAATTACTAGAATTATAAAGATTTTGTATCGGTATACTGGTTTTAATCCTTTCAGCTTTCATTATTCTTTGTTGACACGTTTCGAAAAATTTAAAGGCAAAATATAAAAGACAATTATTAAAGGTTATACACGAATAATAAACATAATTTCATTGCAGTTCCTGCCTTATGTTCCGCCCTCTCTTGCGCCGTCTGGCTGAGAGGAAGTCCTCCTCGTCCTACAATACATAATTAAAGACCGAAGAATCCTGTTCGTTGTTTAGATTGCCACCGCCCCGATTGGATGAGCCGGATGATTTGTTCGAACCGTGGTGTCCGATGGTCATTTGGTTTGTTTGGTGTATTACTGATGTTATGTCGCTTTGAGATGCAGAAATGTCTTTGCTTGTGAGAACATCCGAACTGCTGGATCCTGATGAAAGGCCATGACGCTCAGTGAGCCCATACTGAATGGGCTGGTAGCCATGGCTGGGGTTGTATGTGGCTGAGTATGGCATGTAAATTGGAGGATTTGGCAGGGGGCCTATATCACTGGTGATACTTTCTGTGTCGGCATGGCTTAAATTCGACCGGCACTGCAGTGGATTCCGATCGTCGTTGACAACATAGTAGCATTGTTCAGAAAATGTCAGCTTGTTAACCGTATGTTTAATATAATTATTTCTCAGCATAGCTGAAACGATACGACGCGCTTCTCGCCTATCCTGGACATCTTCAACATTCTCCAGCACCCAGTTAACGGCATCGGCCCCGATGAATGCATTTGGTATAGTGATTTTAAGCCACATACGGTCACGAATTTCCAAGCCACTGTCTGGTTTAATCATTGCTTTGACAATTTCCTCCAAATTGCTTTGATCAAGTCGTTCCTTAATGGGCTCGGGTATGTCTGGATGAATAATACTATCCTGTGAAGTGAGTGCTTGTGTGTGTGCGACCCACGCTCCTGGATCAATAGGTCGAACTGGTTCTGTGCGAGGAATGGTAAAGTATCCTTTGGGATTCGGATCCCAACATTTGGCCACAACTAGCTTAATGGGACCAGGCTTTTGAACAACTTCTCGCAGGACTCTCACCGCTTCGTCATTAGTCATATTTTCGAAATTCACATCATTCACTTGCAAAATCATATCACCCGGTTCTATACGACCGTCTAAAGCAACAGCGCCACCCTTCATAATACTGCCCACATAGATGCCCCCATCACCGCCACGATTTGACTGACCCACTATTGATATGCCAAGGAAATTTACCGCTTCCATGTTGATATTAACTGTAATAATATTCAATGACATCGTTGAATCTGTTATTGATGAGTAACTAGAAGTTCTTGATATACTAGGTGCCCGTTTTTTACGACGCTGAGGCTTCTTGCGCACCTGCAGGCGCTGTACGCTACTGTAGTCTGTTAGATCTCGGTCAAACGTTACTTCGGACTCCGTCCCAAATAAACTAGTGGAGTCTAAATCACTTGACAACACCGATGCTGATTGATATGTTAGCGGTGGAGGAGGCTGCATCATAGGGTTTGCAATTATCCCGGGTGTTCCCATATTACCAACACCAATTGGAGCTCCGACACTCATTTTCTGCGGTGGTGGTGGGGGTTGGGCAGGCCGAGTAGTCTGTCTCAAATCACCGCATTCACTGTTGGGCATGTCGGAACAATTGTCCGATTGATTTGTACCATCTGCAGACACCAACCATGACACTACACGACCATTGAAACACGGCAGTATAGTGGAATCGTCTGCGATTTCTTCTTTCACTACACCAAAGTCGGCATCCATGGATTTAAAAAAGTATTTGTAGTTGTTATTCTGTTTATTTAGCACCATCTTGAAATCCCTCAGAGTCACCTGAGAGGACGGTATTGGAATCTTTACTAAATACGGAGTAGTCTCATCGTCAATGTGATAAATCACTTTTGTCTCTTGGCCTCCACCGCCACCACCACTGTTCTTATCGGCATCCATTTTTGATGATTTTTGCGTTTGTATTTGTTTTAATTCAACCCGAGGCCTCTTTTAGATCTGTCTCCCAGCTATTATTTTCTCGATATCCTATCTTTACTAATGCTCCAACACCAAATTGAAGAATATTCCTTATATTAAAGCAATATCCACAGAAAATTCAAGAATACTTTGTGCTGTGTGTTTTGTTTTTGCTTTAGGGTTGGGTTTCAGTGGGGGCTCCTTCATTTATATCTACTCAACAACTCTTGTTCATTCAAGGCGTTGTTGCTTTGCGCTGTATTAAAAACATATTTTTCGATTATTTTCTTTTTTATCCCAGCTACAAACAGATTTTCAACTTTCCAGATTAAGCAGGGGCTCTTAAGTGAACAAATATGCACAAAATTATAATTATTAAATTGCTTATAAATGTTTACAACTATTTTTTCACTAATTAATAGCTGCAAATTTGCGACAATGGAGCAGAAAATAAAGCCGATATAATGTAACCGACGGGGCGGCGAATGTTAGGTATAACTGGACGACGGTATTTTCTCCAAAGTCATTTCAATATATTAAATACGGCGTTAATGCGCTGATTGCTGGATTTATACGATTTATGGTACAACATTTACAAAATAAAATTCCCCTAGTTTTGCAATTTTTTCGATATTATAAGGGGAAAATCAGTCATCAAACTAAAAACTGTTACATTCCTGCAGTTCTGGAACAGACCAGCAAAAAATGAGGTTTTAAAATAGGGAACAGAGAAAATTATTTTTTGAAATTTTTAATCACATGCGAGTCTTTTTTGCTTGCGCGATTAAAAAGCTGGAATAAGAGCGCATTTTCTGATCATAAAAGACTCATTTGTCGGGAGAAAAACGTGAACTCCCGCGAGTCTTCTAAATAAATCACATATGAGTCTTCCTCTAGATTAGTTAAGAGTCTTTTACGACCATTTTCTGATCGTTCTACAAGTCTTTATGAGTGTTTACAATTCTACGAATCACGTTATTGATTTCTAAGTATGCGGATGTACCGTGAAAAAAGAATTTGTTCATATATATTTATATAAAAAATTATTTAAAATAAAAATAATTCAGTTTTTATAATTATAATTTGTATTCTAATTTCAATAAATGCCATTGTAAAAAATATCGTAAAAAATGAAAAATCAAACCAGTAAGGAAAGCTCAAAAGTCGGGCGGGGCCGACTATATGACACCCTACACCACTATGCATATTTAGTAGAGCTCTCGTAAAAAGGATTATACAGGGCATTTTAGAGCTCTATGAGATATTTGGTACAAAATCAAAATCTATCTAATTCTATCGTGCATTTTACGAACTATAGCCGGGTTTCTCCAAATTTGACGTATTAGCTTCTAGACTGAATTCGGTCTTATGTACGAAAATTCAGGTGATTTGGGCTGATATTGACCATTTAGTGAACAATTAACCTGAAATCGTTAGAATAATCGATTCTCACCACTATGTGGCTGTACAGATGTCTGAAACAATTCCTAATATTAGTTGGAAATTGAAGGTACGAAAATTGGAATAATTGGTTTCCCCTCAGTTATAAAGGTACTCAGCTCCACCTCCACGCCAAGGCTTATTCCCCGGAAGAGTAAAACAGTCGAATTGTATAATGCTACTATGGAAAGTAGCGTATTATTCAACCATTTCGGTATTTATATCAATTTAAAAAACATATATATGGGAGCTACAGCTATATCTGAACCGATTTTTACTAAAATTGATGTACTTGAATATAGGCTGGTTTCGGTTGAATTTGCCAAAATTCATGCCATTTGGGCTGATATTGGCCATTTGATGCACAATTAACACGAAATCGGATGAAGATATATATGGGAGGCATATCCAAATCGGAACAGATTTTAATAAAATTAAAATCAACTATTTTTGGGCTTTATCTGATATCTGGTACCAAATATAATTCCTGTGGAGTGCACATTACGAATGTGAGGGACTTAAAGACCAAATCGGATGAAAGATATATATGGGAGCTATAGCTATATCTGAACCGATTTTTACTAAAATTGGTGTACTTGCTTCTAAGCTGGTTTCGGTCGGATTTGCCAAAATTGATGCTATTACGGCCATTTGGTGGTCAATCACCCGAAATCGGATGAAGATATATATGGGAGCTATATCCAAATCTGAACCGATTTCGATAAAATTTAAAACAGCTATTCCTGTGCTCCATCTAATACCTGGTACCAAATATCACGGTTGTGGAGTGAATATTACGAATGTAAGAGACTAAAACACTAAATCGGATGAAACATATATGGGTGCTATATCTATATCTGAACCGATTTTCACTAAATTTGATATACCTGCTTCTAGGCTGAATTTGGTCCGATGTACTAAAATTCAGTCCATTTGTACTTATATCGGCCATTTGGTGCACAATTAACCCGAAATCGGATGAAGATATATATGGGAGCTATATCCAAATCTGAACCGATTTCGATAAAATTACAAACAACTATTTCTGGGCTGTATCTTATATCTGGTACCAAATATCACGGTTGTGGAGTGCATAGTAGGAATGTGAGGGACTTAAAGATCAAATCGGATGAAAGATATATATGGGAGCTATATCCAAATCTGAACCGATTTCGATAAAATTACAAACAGCTATTTCTGGGCTGTATCTTATATCTGGTACCAAATATCACGGTTGTGGAGTGCATAGTAGGAATGTGAGAGGCTTAAACACCAAATAGGATAAAACATATATATGGGAGCTATAGCTGTTTCTGAACCGATTTTCTCCAAATTTGTTGTATTTGCTTTAAGGCTAATCTCGGTCACATGTGCCAAAATTCGGTCCATTTGGGCTGATATTGGCCATTTGGTGGTCAATTATCGGATGAAAGATATATATGGAAGCTATAGCTATATCTGAACCGATTTTCTCCAAATTTGATATACTTGCTTCTAGGCTGAATTTGGTCCGATGTACTAAAATTCAGTCCATTTGGGCTGATATTGGCCATTTGGTGGTCAATTAACCGGAAATCGGATGAAGATATATATGGGAGCTATATCCAAATCTGAACCGATTTCGATAAAATTTAAAACAGCTATTTCTGTGCTCCATCTAATACCTGGTACCAAATATCACGGTTGTGGAGTGCATAGTAGGAATATGAGGGACTTAAAGATCAAATCGGATGAAAGATATATATGGGAGCTATAGCTATATCTGAACCGATTTTCTCCAAATTTGATATACTTGCTTCTAGGCCGAACTCGGTTGGGTGTACCAAAATTCAGGTAATTTGGACTGATAGTGGACATTTGGTGCACATTTAAACCGAAATCGGATGAAGATATATATGGGAGCTATATCTAAATTTGATCCGATTCTCACCAATTTCAATAGGGTTCGTCCTTGGACCAAAAAAATATTGTTTGGAAAATTTCATCTCAATCGGATAATAAATGCGACCTGCATTTTGTTCACAAGAATACATGGACAGACGGACGGACGGACAGACGGACTGACATGCATAAATCGACTCAGAAAGTGATTCTATGAAGGTTCTCAAAAGTAACTATGGGTCTATCTCGTTTCCTTCTCCATGTTACAAACAAATGCACAAAGACATAATACCCTTACCACTATGTGGTGTAGGGTATAATAAAACTGCAATCGGGCCGTTTTCTTTTTGTAACCCGGTCTCTAGCGTGAACAAAATGTTTCTGTAGGATTGTGTCCATATCCCTGTCGTTGATTGTTTATTTGAGCTGGCAAATATCTGAAATAAAATATGTACAAGTCTGCCCATTTTACTAATTCTTTATATACGTGTAAAAAAGACAAACTTACTTTTGATTACTGTCACTAAATAGTACTTTTATGCACTCGACTTTAGACTGGTCCCCTTCCATGTGTATAGGCAGGCTAAATTGTCGGAAAAACCTTTCGAATGGTAGCCCGAAAGAATTGTGGGGCTCCTTCACCGCCGGTTTTTACAATAAACTCTTTCTGCAAATAGGTTATCAAAAAATTATATGAGTATTAATAGTTTTTAAAGTAGTAAATAAATCAATTAGAGGCCCTATTTTCTATACTTACGTAAAACCCCTCATTTTCAGCACTTTCTTCAGTAAAATTTTGATTTGGCTCGACGTACATGTGTACATGTGTGTTAATCATTTTTTGAACACTAAATGGACTCGAAGAAGACTCTGCGAAGTGATTTTTTCAAAAACAATATTCAAGTGAATGCTGGGTATAATCACTTTTCAAACAACTGCATGATCTTTTTAAGACCAATCATTTTTCAATCTCTAGATGGTCGCAATACGGTAATAAATAACGGAAAAATTAGTAACATTTTGCACATATCAATGATTGATTTGCGGTTCCCCTACATTTTGTTGTTGTATATTAAATTGATCTCTTTTTACTCATTTGAGAGAGTCATTTTCGAGTCGCTTTTCGGTCATACAAGTGAGTTAATCATTTTTTGATCACCAAAAAGAATCGAAGAAGACTCTGCGAAGTGATTTTTTAAAAAACAATATTCAAGTGAATGCCGGGTATAATCACTTTTCAAACAACTGCATGATCTTTTTAAGACTAATCATTTTTCAATCTCTAGATGATCGCAATACGGTAATAAATAACGGAAAAATTAGTCACATTTTGCACATCTCAATGATTGATTTGCGGTTTCCCTACATTTTGTTGTTGTATATTATATTGATCTCTTTTTACTCATTTAAGAGTGTCATTTTCGATTCGCTTTTCGATCATACAAGTGAGTTAATCAAAGTGATGTTTTCAAAAACAATCTTCCAAATGCTAGCTGGGTACAATCTGGATTAAGTTAACACCATCGTACAACAAGGAGTTAGAACAACTTCGTTAAGCTACAGAAATGCAGCGCTGAAGCTATGCCCGCTTGTCAGAATTATTCAAAATTATAGGCAACAAGTTGTTTTCATTTATTTGATATTTTTCTGTTCATTTCTAAAATGAGTTAAATAGAGCGAAAAATGAATGAAATGCCTGGATGTTCTCTCAAAAATATATATAAATATATGTTCAATCTTTCAATTCCATGGCAAATCTGGTTAATATTATTAATGCGCATCCCGTAATTTAAGTTTCTTCCAATCATTGATTTTATTTTTATTTTTCAAACCAACAAATACATTCACAAAAATGGCAGAGGTCGGGCAAACTTAGAAAAAACTACAGAAATACAGTACTAAAGGTGTGGGTACATAACATCTTGGAATCATGAACAAGCATAGACTTTAAGCTGCTTATGCGCCCACACCTTAAGGCCATGCTCGCTTCATGTCAGAATTATTAAAAATTATAATATGCAACAAGTTCTTCCAATTATTTTCTTTTTTAAGTACGAAAAATTAATGAAACGCTCAATATTTCAATCTCATGACAAAAATGATAAATATCTTAAATGCGCGTCCAGCAATGTACTTTTCTTCCATAATTGATTTTGAAA